CGCTTGCGCAATCGGATAGTTCCTCGAGGAGTCGTAGCCATGTGACGAAGCCGTTGGTAAACTTGGAGTAGGCATAGCGGGTGCTGGTGGAGGTGTCGGAGGCGGCGGTGGGGTGGGCTCGGGAGGTGGTGAATCCTACAAGAACTGTTAGCTTTGGGTCTCATGGTGGCCTAGAGCAGTTTTCACTTACCTTGGGGTCACGCGGACGACGATGCACGGCACCAATCTTTGGGGGAGCATTCTCAGCTCCCCACTCTGGCTTTGGAAGATCGTCGTCCTCCTTTTGCTCGTCCTTGAGCAAGTACGCGATCGGACTGGGCACCTTCTTCAACTTTCGAGGCGCATCGAACAGATCCATTACGTAGTCCTTGTCTCGCACTTCGTCGGGTAAACAACTAGCCCATGTCTTGATCTTGTTGAGCTTATGATTCTCCTCGTTGTATCGAGCCTCGCAGACGTAGATCTCTTTATCAGAAGGAAAGTCGCGGGGACGGCCCTTGTTGTAACGGGTGATGAACATAACGAAACATCGGTCCACGACCTCGTCGATGCGGTGATCTCGATATTGGCCAGTCTTGACAACTTCGTTCTCGAAAAAGTGTCGGTCAAAACGGTGCACGGTCTGCTCCGGGCGGTAGTACCAGCAGGCATTCACCCATTGTCCACCGTTCGCGTCTTGCCAAGTGCGGTAGATCTGAGCAACAATCGGCTTTGTAAGGTCGTTCGCGTTCTGAATGTGCACCCAATCGCCGACCTTCCACAGCTCTCCGTTGTGAACGATGCCGCTGGGCATAGGGATGCGACCTTCTTCCATGACGTATTCAGTATCTGGCTTCTCCTTCTCGGCCTTTGCAACCTTGCGCGATTCCTTTTGGAGATGCACGGCGTCCTTGTAGATCTGGCTGTCCTCTTCGTTGTACTGCTTCGCGTTTTCGAACATGAGCTCTACATCCACCATGAAGTGATCGACGGAGTTGTACTTCTTTCGCTTGAGCTTGCGCTTGAGGATGTCCATGGCCATTGGATTCTTGATCTCAGAGTGATACTCGGGCATGACCGTCTTGTCCGGGACGCGCTCGAATGCGCTCACCATGAGCTTGTTGAGTTGGTTCCGCGGTTTCCTGATTGCTTTCATAATGGTCTTGATTCGCGCTTCCATAGGAGTGTCGACCCGCGGCGGTCGTCCGCGCTTCTTCCGCGATTCTGGATCGTCGGCCTTGGCGTCTTCCTTTGCTGCTCTTGAACCGCCTTCACGCTTGGTGATAGCTGCTGTGGAACGCGGTCCGCGGCGCCTCTTGCGCTTGCCCTCATCTTCTTCGTCCTCATCCTCTTCCTCGTCCACTTCGAGTTCTTCCTCATCGTCATCTTCCTCTTCCTCTTCTTCCTCCTCTGGTAACAGCGGGTCTTGTTCGGGAATCTCTCCCAAGAACGGCAGGGTGGCGACTGTCTCAGGAACGATCTTGTCGTCGACTAGCCTCTTCAGCTCGCGTTCGATGACCTTCTTTACTTCGAGCGCATCGACATATGCCTGCGAGTCCTGCCTGTTGTACACCTGCGCATTGTGGGGAATGAGCGCCAGGTCGCGTACGAACTGGGAAAAGTTCTTGTATTCTCGCTGCGCAATCTTGGCCTTTATCGTACTCAGGGCCATGGGCTCCTTGATGATATCGTAGTAGTCGGGCACGGCGCGCTTGTTCACTTTGCGCTGGAAGAGCTTGGTAGGGTCGTATGTTCCACTGCACGTTGATCAGCTGGGGACGGCATGGCGCATGTAGAATCGAAACTTACTCGTCAATCCTGTAGTCGTATACATTCTTGAGGAGGTTGGCCATGGCCTCCCATTCTGGCGCCGTGACGGTAGACGTTGCGCCGGCGGACTCAGCCGTCTCGGTCGTGGGCACCGGTGTCGAGCTTGGGGCGCGTCCGGTCGCCATGTTTGCAACAGTCGACTCGATGCTGTCGTGTTCCGGTATCCTTCTTGCGCTAGGTGTTGGCGTGTCGCGTCCTGGATGCTGGAAGTCGCGACGCCGGACGGAGGTAAGATTCGCCGCTCCCCGGGGACGGCCGGCCTCCTCCATGATTCGGGAACCTTCACGTACGCCAGCCATGTCACCCGATCCGTGCAAACTGTCGTCTTTGTAGCGTTCTCCCGTAGCTGACAAACGATCCTTTCTTCCTAACAAAGCTCTCCTCATATTTGCGCATTCGTGAAGATTTACGTCTCTTCATACCAACTCACTCATCGCAGCTTCCCTAATACCAGCGCAGCTCTCCACCGCTAAGTCGCCCCACCAGTCAACTGTCATCACGCGCCACGCCTTCGAAGCTCCCTCACTTGTATCCCTCCGTACACGTATATCCCTCCATCTCTCCAGCCGACCCATCAAACCATGCCGATTCGCATCCGGTTACGCGCGCCGAATGGCACCCACACACTATCACTCGACGACAACGCCGCCGTCTCGGACCTTCTGTCCTCCATCAGCGAGAAGACAGAACTACCACTCTTCGAGCTGAAATGGAACCACCCGCCTCAACCGCTCGACCCTTCCCTATACGGCATGTCGACGTTGCTGAAGGATATCGATCTCAAGCTGAACGGCGCATCCATCATAGTCATTGCACAAGCCACTGGCGACCCGAGCGAACGGAAGCAGGAGCAAGAACTACAGGCAAACACATCACAGGCGGCGCCACTATCCCTTCAACGGAAGCAGAACTCGGCGCTCAAGGAAACACCCGAGGTTCCCGTGCCTGACCGCGGTGGCACTATGGTCCTTCGGGTCATGCCTGACGACAACTCCTGCATGTTTCGAGCTGTTGGTAGCGCAGTCCTGACAGATTCTCTCGATTCTATGACCGAGCTTCGATCGATGGTTGCGCAAGCTATTCAAAGAGACCCGGAACAGTACAACGAGGCGATTCTGCAACGTTCTCCAGATGAGTACTGCAAATGGATATCGTATGCCGACTCGTGGGGTGGTGGCATCGAACTCAGCATCCTTTCCCAAGAGTTTGACATCGAGATCGCCAGTGTCAATGTCCAGGACAACCGGGTGGACCGATTCAACGAGGGCAGACCGAGGCGCTGTATCGTGGTGTATTCTGGTATCCATTACGACACGATCGCCTTCGTGCCCCAGGGTGCGTCCACGCAAGATCCTTCGCAAGATGTTAAGATATTCGATGCGGCAGACGACGTGATTCTTGAAGCTGCGAGGGAACTCTGCGGGCAGCTGAAGAAAGCCCACTATTACACCGATACACAGAAATTCGATCTCAAGTGCAACACGTGCGGTTGGAAAGGGGCAGGAGAACGGGGCGCGATGGAGCACGCAGCCGAAACGGGACATAGCGACTTCGGAGAGGCAGACTGATTGATTTCTTGATACCCGTGGACGCCTTTGGGATGTTGTGTACCATTAGCCATGTCAACATTGTATTTACCTTCTCTGTAATAGTAAGAATTACACTGATTGCAGTCTCTTTCGGAGCGCTGTTGGTCACTATGAGGTACAGCAAAAACCCGAAATCTCGTTTGTAATTCACACCGAAAAGTGAAGACGATCTGTGGAAGCACATGTAACCAAACGGGGGGAGTTTCGTAGTTTTCAATGGTATTGAGACCAAGACATTTGGGGAATTGATTTTTCATTTCACGCAGTATTCTCTCTGGGCAAGCGCCGCGCTCAGGTTGTCACTTTGTCAGCAAATGCTACCCTGAGATTCACCCTCTGTGTGGAAGCTCCTTATTAACGACCCGGAAGTCCCGCTCCACACTCTCAACCCCACTATCATCACCATCAAACCGACCTTGTCAAGCTATTCAACCATACTTCGCCTGCGTACATTATGTCACTACGCGCGAAAACCCGGAGCCATATTAACGACGACACAACTGCGCCATCTCCAGAGTAAGCAACTGTTACTTATAATGAATTGGGCCCTACTGACTTCTCCTAGTGTCTCAGGCGCGCCATTCCCTATCAAAGTGGGCAGAAAGAAGTTCCACATCCACATCGGTACACTGACGGCGACATCTGATTTCTTCAAAAACGCCATGAAGCGAAGATGGCGCGCCAACGCAAAGAAACAAATTGACCTGGCGGACGAAGAACCAGAAGATTTCGAATCTTATGTCAATTGGCTCTACAGCAGAAAGGTCGCTGTCACTCGGCCTCTTGTGGGCAGGCACATACAATTTGCTCGTTTGTACGTTTTAGGCGGAAGACTCGTTGACGAGACCTTCCAGAACGCTGTTCTCTCCGCTATGATCGATCATGCAGTAGAAAGGGACTCCTTTCCTCCAGAAGACGCTATCAACATCATCTATTCGGGTACCAGTAGTGCAAGCTCTCCAGCACGCCGACTTATGGTCGATATGTTTGTATACGGTTGCGATGAAGACTGGAATATTACAGGAAGTCTTGTAGAGGAAACCAGCGTGGAGTTCGTGGACGACTTGGTGAGAGGCTTCATTCGTTCTTGTACGAAACATCCTATCAATCGGAAACTTAGTCCGTGGGTGGTGGCTCCTGAACAGTACCGTTTGAGGGCGGAACAGAACAACGGGAAAGAGACTGAGAATGCGAAAGATGAATTGATGGACATTTCCGATTAAGAGCTATTACAATCACACCGGAGATGTCTATAGATACTCTATAGTCGGGAAGGTACCTCGAGATCAGGGCCAGGGCTTCCATGAGCGGTTCTAATAGGTCTTGGAGCAGGCCGCTGTCAATAACTCAAAGATTACAATCATACACTGTTGTCACAATTTGACCTTAGCAATCGCCACTTGCCTTTCATATACATAGATCCTCGAAGGCGCCGAGTGGAGTGCAGCCGTCGAGCCCAACTCAGACGGGTGTGACAAGCAGCTGCAAGAAGTTTGAATTCGTAAAGAGTGGTGAGATATACAGTACTTTTACGACGCGGAGTGCGATTAGTTTCGCAGACCTTAGGGTCCAAGTGAGCTCACCACCCAACATACGGCCTGTTTACATGATGATAGTCCTCCGGCATCGTAGTCGTGACGAAAAACTTATCAACTCCACATTTCTCCTCCATCTTTTTCGTCGCCCACCTCCACAACGGGTTGCACAAGCGATGCCTATACTCTTGGTTGCCGCCAAAAGCATCCTCTTCACCCTGATTCGTTGCGAATTGGAACTGCATGCCGTCGAGCTTGGGCATATCGATGATGCGATCGAGACCATACTGCGCGACGGACGTCTCAACGTCTTGCGCAAGACTCGCCTTCTCTTCCTCAAGGCTGCGTCCTTCGGGGAGATCGTAGTGCAAGCCAGTTTCCAAATAAAATTCTTGCTCGTTGGTGTAATCGAACCTCTCCATGCGCACGCCGTCTTCAATGCTGGGAAAACTGAAGATGATATCGATGGACTTGAGCTGGGTGAATTTGGAGATCAGTTCGAGGTGCGTGGGATTGCCTTGCTCGGTCCAGTTGTATATTGAGATATGCTTGACGAGCTTGGATGCTGCATCTTCAGGAAGATGAGAAAACAGGTCCAGGAGCTGCTTCGACTCCTGAGTGTTCCATGAAAACAGGTTCTGAGCGAGGAAAATTGGCGTGGCTTCGTTGAATAGTTGGCGGTTGGTTCGACACAAGGCTGGGAGGTCGTGGAAGAGCGCGATTTCGCTTGATGTCGTGATTGCAGCTCGATTTTTCACAAAGGGCTCCGAATCGTGGAAGGTGTAAGTGTATATCTGATCGCGCAGTTCGCGAGAAAGGCGCAGAAGTTGAGACGGTGACAAGACTGAAACCAGTACGAACCAGGACCAGACCGCAGTCTGAGTCAAAGGCGCACTCTATTCGTTCCGTTACTGAAACGGACATCCTAAAGGATCGAGATATTGAGAGGGCTGAAGAAGCGTATCGACCTCGGGATGGAAGAGGGCGGTACACTGGACTTATATGGTGCCGAGGGCGGAAGAATTCATGGGTAATATGAGAGAAAGGCGCGCTTTCCACTTTGAGACAAATTCACACTCACTTTCACTACGTACCGTTTAGGATCGGCTCAGGCTGCAGCGTCCGTGCTTTATGCCTGTTCTGTCGCAATTTGGGTTCACTTTCGAACCGATGCCTTGCACACCACTATCCTGATTAACTAGCCACTTCATTGCTGTTGCGTACTAACAAGGAGCGGGAAGCCTACAGCAAGATGGCTTCCCCAGACTCATGTGAATCAACTGCATTTACTATCAAGCTACCGAAGTGAATCGACACCTATGTCTCCTCAAACAACAGGCATCTAACTTCTTTAGTGTCTCGGGCGAGACTATCGCAGTCAAAGTCGGCCTCCAAATCGTCGACGTACACAAGGATCTCATCAGCAGCAGCTCCGAATACTTCAGAAAAGCCATTAGTCACGAGTCGATTTTATCTCACAGGTAAGATCTCGCTTTACGAGATACATACATATGAGACATTTACTGACTCCGTACGTGTACCTCTGCAGGTTCATCGATCTGTCCGACGAAGAGCCTCATGATTTCGAAATATACTGTCAATGGCTATATACTCGAGTCCTTGACGCGAAACTAGACAATCACAATGGATTCAGTTACCTTGCTCGGATGTACGTCTTGGGAGAAAAGTTGATCGACCGCACATTCCAGAACGATGTCGTCGACGCCATAATCTACCGCCATATCACTGCGCGACTGAGTCAAAAGCCCCTGCGCTACAAAGTACCTGATCTGCAAGCTATCGGAATCATCTACGAGGGCGCTCCGAGGAAAGCCCCAGTGATACGTCTCCTGGTGGATCTGTGGGCTTTCAACATGGACTCCTCTTGGGTCACGAAGACGAGACTTCGAGCGCCAGAGAACAAACTTTTTCTGGATGACCTCTTACCGGCACTGTTAGACAGGCGAGGACTCCCGGATGCTTCTCAAGCTAGGCCATGGATCTCGCAACGAAGTTCCTATTACAACAAGGGTGTCGTGATCAAGAGCGAAACGCCGGAAGACCGGGGCGACGAGGCGATCTTTGAGCCTTTCATCAAGGATGAGCCCGCTGAGGAGGAACCTTTCGTTAAGAACGAGCCTTACGTTGGGGATGAAGCTCACATCAAGGAAGAGCCTTCTATGATAGATGAGCCCTTCATCAAGGACGAGCCTTCTAGCGAGATGGAGCTCTCCAGCGAGGAAGAATCTTCCAGCGAGGATGGATCTGCCAGCGAGGATGAGCCTTCCAACAAGACTGACCCTTCCGTCCAGGAGGAGGTGGACGTGCTTGATGCATTCTGGGGTATGTAGGAGACTACATCTCTTGTATCCAGAACTCTCTACAAGTGATGATGTACTATAAAGTATACATAGTCCTCTGGCCAAGTAAAAATCAACCAAAAAGTAGGTTGAGTACCTCCAGGGTAATGTATAATTTCCTGACTTGGGAAGCTAAACTGAGTGCGGTTTGTGCGAAAAGTGAGATTTTACACTTACGTAGCCACCTGTTCTGTCAGAAATTGATCGAATTGGAATACCGGGGTCTCGTTCACCTGGCACTAACAGCGCGTGACTGCACCTTCCAAGGTTGGTGAGAGTGAGAGATCGTTAGCGCGAAATCGAAGACATGTTCTCTCACTCAATTCCACAAGTGCGCACCTTCAACAACCTCTCATTCGTCCACTAACTCATATTTTCGACATCGGCTTAAGTCGTGGCTGCAAGTAACTTCGAAGCTACCCATGTCTCTCATAACTGACACCATGAGCAGACAGATCAAAATGCCGATAGTAAAAATCCCCGCGCCCACTTCGGATACCGCCATGATCGTTCTGGTAGAGGCAGGAGATGAGTTCAAGACACCTACATTGAGAGGCGACATCGTACCCATCCACGTCGGCAGCGACCCGGAGACGCTGTTACATGTTCATGCCACCGCCTTGAGCAAGAGCTCCGGATTCTTCAAGAACGCGTTGAAATCGGAGTGGCGCACAGATGCTACGAAGCCCATCGACATGTCTGACGTGGGTCTAGTCGTTTTCGAAGGATATTGCGGATGGCTGTACACAGGCAAGATCACGCATTTTGATAACGAGGCGTGCTATATATACCTCGCAAGTCTCTACGTCCTGGGAGAACGGCTTTTGGACGTTACATTGCAGAACAGCGTCGTCGCCGCTATAATCCGACGCAACCGAACCAACGGCAGGCACCCTGGAAACACCTCAGTACAGCTCATTTACGCTGGTACCCCCACCGGATCACCCGCCCGACGGTTGCTGGTAGACTTTTGGGTCTTCAGTGCGTCACCGTCATGGCTTGGTCTTGACGACCTGATTAAGCATACCTGCTCCGAATTCGTCAACGACCTGGTCCGCAAGCTCATTGAGCAACGAGGCGCACCCGACGGCTTCGTCCCAAGACCATGGATTGCGAAACCTAAATCATACGAGACCAAGTAAGGTGCACACCTTACACTACAGCCTGGAGGTATCCGATGAGCTTTGCGTTGACCTTCGACAAGGTACAACGCAGCGAATACCTCTAGGGTACAGTCTGCTTGAGGGCAGATCAAAAGGAAACGAGATCATTCGTAGCGGCCACGGTGTGGAAATTGATTGAGAATGCCGACAAAGAGAGACGGCTGCTCGAAATGAGTCAAGAACAAGGAGGAAAGTAGACTAGCAGGAAAGAGGTATCTTCTCACTTACTAGCTACCATAATTCATTTCTCAATACAGCCGAAGCAACGATATCATACAGTGGAAAACGCCAGAATCTTCTACCCATGTGAATGACTGACCTACTGTGTATGCTCCCAAACTCCAAGTCATATAAGTAAGCAATAGCAATAGTCTAGAAGCCAAAACCACCTGGGAAACCACCCGGAAATCCGCCGCCGCCCTGCTGGAACTTGAAGCTACCGCCGCCACCAGGGAAGCCACCACCTCCACCTTGTCTGAACATGAACTGCTGACCACCAAAGGGTGAACCCTGGAAGGGATTGCCTTGTTGCTGCTCGTTGCTGTTGGGGTCGTCACCGCGGTCGAAACGTTCCTTGAGTTCGGGGTCGGAGAGGACTTCGTAGGCTTCGTTGACTTGGGACATCTTCTTCTGCGCATCCTCGGGTGTCATGTTGTTGGCCGAGGCCTTGTCGGGGTGGTACATCTTGGTCAGCTTGCGGTATGCCTTCTTGATCTCGCGCTCGTCAGCGTCGCGCGTTACGCCGAGCACCTTGTAATAGTCCTTTGTCTTCGACCGCTTGAGCAGTGTCTGCGCTTTGTGGTGTAACTCGTCGAGCTTCTGGTTCTGGTGGTGCTCCTTCGCGTGCTCTAGGGTTCGGACACAGTCTTCGAATTCGTCGGCTTCGAGCTGGAATTGAGCCTTGTGGATGAGACCGTGAAGCGAGTCGGGGTTGAGTTGCAGGGCTTCGGTACAGTACGGTGTGCCCTTCTTTAGGTTGTTCATCTCGACGTAGGCTTCGCAGGTCATCTCCACGAGGGTTTGGTAAAGACCTTGAGGTGAGTTGGCGTAGATGTAGCCTTGTTCGGTGTAGTCCTTGAAGTCTTGCTTGACCTCCTTCAATAGACCCGGATCTTCTTCGCCGCGGTCGATGAGGAGTTTCGAGGCGGTGGCGAACTGGCGCTTCTCGAAGAACTTGCGCACCTTTTGGATGTCCTTGTCGAGGGTCTTTTCTCTCCTCCGTAGCTTCATGCAGGCTTTCGAGTCTGGGTCCGACTGAAGACATTGTGCGATGTGCTTGAGTCCCTTGTCGGTTTCGCCCAGGGAGTAGAAGGCCATGGCGGAGCTCTGGAGATGGGGTTGGATATCGCCCTTGTTGATCTGGAGGAGATGCTGCAGGTCGCTGATGCCCTCGGCGACCTCGCCCTTCTCGAAGCGACACTTCGCTCTTGTCTTGCGGATGTCGTATGCTGCTCCCGCGACTAAGATGGCAGTTCCAGCATTCGAGATACACGCGTCCCAGTCGCGCTTCTCTGCCGCCTCCTGTGCCATGATGGCAGCGCCCTGCGCTTCTTCCAGCTGCGCGATCGCATCGGTCTTACCGGCAGCCTCGTAGTCTTTGCGCGCTGCCGCCCAGTCGGCCTTCCTGGCTCTGATCTTGGCCCTCTGCACTAATGCGCCCTCGAAGCCAGGCTTCAGTTCCAGCACCTTGTCGAAGTCATGTTGGGCCTGCGCGGTTCGGCCGATTTGCAGGTAAGCGGCGCCGCGCCTGAAGTAGGTAAGGTAGTTGCGCGGGTCGCGGGTGATGGCGGCGTCGAAGTAGAGAAGGGCGTCTTGGGTGTTGCCGGTAGCGAGTTGGACACCGGCGTCCTTGATGAGCTGCGACAAGGGAGTATCCGCGGGTATTTCCGAGGCGGAGAGTGCGCTGGCGAGCGGGAGGAGCCCGAGGGCAATAGAGGACAGTCGGAGTATCATGGCGGGATGCGGTTGAGAGTGCTATGAATGAGTGACGGTAGGTTGGAAGTTGAGCAAGCAGGAGTATAGTCCGCGCAGAGAAGCAACGGCAGGTGCGACGGTCAGGTCATGGAAAGAGCGGGTCGTGTCTTTATTTGGCCTTTCACTGTCGAACAATTGCAACTTGTCCTCAGCGACCAGCCGCATGATAGCCGGGACGCACTGACCCCCGCGACCCCCAGGACGCTAATGCGGGCAGGCATGGATTACGACATGCATGCCCGTGAACGCCGCCGCTACGCCATCAGGACTAGACAGGCGCATACCTCATAGCTCCTCTTCGCACCCGCCTTGCGCACCTTTTCCTGTTCCTCTCATTCACTCTCCTCATAACCGTCCACACCCCTGCCACCAGTAATGTCTCCCATCCGGCTGCGTATCGACGGACGCATATTCCGAGACCCTCAGAACCGCGAAGTCACCCTGCACGGTATCAACTGTGCGGCCGACGCCAAGTTCCCTGCGAAGCCAGACCAGCCTTCACACATTCCAGACAACTTCTTCGACGGCGACAACGTCTCCTTTGTCAACCGACCCTTTTCGCTAGAAGACTCCGCGACACACTTCTCGCGACTACGTAGTTGGGGCTACAACACCATCCGTTATGTCTTCACGTGGGAGGCCATAGAGCACGCGGGCCCGGGCAAGTACGACGAGGAGTGGATAGACCACACCATTGCTCTCCTACGAAAGGCAAAAGAATATGGCTTCTACATCTTCATGGATCCTCACCAGGATGTCGTAGGTAGCATTCCAATAGATTCAGTTACTACTTCTCTAATGCATCGCATAGTGGTCACGATTCTCTGGAGGTTCTGGCGCGCCCATGTGGACTCTCTATGCTTGTGGGCTGGACCCCGAGAACTTCGCCGTCACCGAAGCCGCCCTCGTGCACAACACATACCCCGACCCTGCCACCTTCCCTAAGATGATCTGGACCACCAACTACACACGACTAGTATGTCAGGTCATGTGGACACTGTTCTTTGGTGGTAGGGACTTTGCGCCCAAGGCCATCATAGACGGAAAGAACATCCAGGACTACCTGCAAGATCACTACATCGGAGCATGCGAGCATCTTGCGAAGCGGATACACCAAGCAGGCGACCTGTGGCACGACCCGATCGTTGGGTGGGAAAGCATGAACGAGCCCAACAGAGGCCTCATCAGCTACCAAGATATTACCCAGATCCCGAGCGAACAAAAACTCCAGAAGGGCACCTCGCCGACGGCTTGGCAGGCCATACTTACCGGATCGGGTAGAGCTTGCGAGATATCGACTTGGGAATTTGGCGGGCTGGGACCATACAAGAGTGGCTCTGCATTAGTGGACCCCGAGGGCACTATGGCATGGCTATCGAAAGATTACGACGACACCAAATACGGCTGGAAACGCGACCCAGGGTGGAAGTTGGGCGAATGCTTGTGGGCGCAACACGGTGTCTGGGACCCGGCGACTGACATCGTCTTGAAGAAGGACTACTTCGGAATCGATCCCAAGAACGGGGCCAAGATTGACTACGAGTACTTCACAAACCACTACTGGCTGCCGCACTACCGGGCGTACAGCAAGATGGTCAAGTCCATATTCCCGGACTCCTTGATGTTCTTCCAGCCACCAGTGTTGGAGATACCGCCAAAGGTCAAGGGCACAGAAGACGACGACCCCAACATGATCTTCTCGCCGCATTTCTACGATGGCATCACTTTAATTACAAAGAAGTGGTATGTTCCAAAATACTGACTTTTATCTCATCTCGTCTAATATCACACAGGAACCGCGTATGGAATGTTGACGTATTTGGTGTGTTGCGAGGAAAGTATTTGACGCCAGCATTCGCCATAAAGATTGGCGAGAACGCCATCAGGAACTGCTTCTCCCACCAGCTCAAGGCGATCCGAGACGAGGGTACAGAGTACACGGGCGTCCACCCCTGTATCTTCACCGAGATCGGTATCCCATACGATATGGACGACAAATACGCGTACAAGACAGGCAACTACAGCAGCCAGATAGCTGCTTTGGATGCCAATCACTTCGCGCTTGAAGACAGTAAAGCTAACGGCTTCGCCCTGTGGACCTATGTCGCAAATGTATGTTTGCATTCAGTCTAGAATTGGACACGGCTGACAAAGACCAGAACTGCCATTACTGGGGCGACCTTTGGAACGGAGAGGATCTCTCCATTTACTCAGTAGACGACAAGGCGGTTCCTGCAGGCCCCTTCTCGCCAGCCGACTCCCGTGCGTCGCTAGATAAGAATTCGCCCACGTTCTCGAGAGCACAGTCGACCGATACCCTAAGCATCAACCCTTCCAACCTACAGAAGACCATCACCGCAGAACGAATGAGCTCAAAGAAAGATGACGACGACGTTCGGGGTCTGCGAGCAGCCGAGGCCTTCATCCGCCCCACCCCCGTTGCCGTTCATGGAGACGTTTCGTCGTACGGGTTCGATCTCAAGAACTGCACATTCAAGCTTGCACTCTCTGCGCCGAGCTCGACATCAGAAGATTTCCCTACGGTCTGCTACCTACCCGAGTTCCACTTTCCGTCAGGACAAACCAATGTCGAGGTCAGCGGTGGCAAGTGGACCATCACATCCGAGGAGACGGATGGCGCGCTGCAGCAGACGCTGCGGTGGTGGCACGCGGAAGGTGACCAGGTCATGACTGTCAAAGGCGTGGTGCGAAAGCCGGGAAGCGCGTTAGGCACGGAAGAAGACGAGGGATATCTCCAGCAGTGCCAAAAGCAGACTTGCGCTGTCATGTAATGTCGCAAAGTTGACGATGTCGGGGTTTGGTGTGGTGGGGGGTTTGGCCAATCGATGCACGGTGATGCAATATCATGCGATGCTCAGGTCACGCAGTCAGCAGTTCTTGTGCATATGGTTCATTTGGGCAAACGTGAGCGTTGGACGACTTTATATACTCGTCAGGGTGTTCGGGGAGCATTTACGAAAGACTTATGATTTTGTATATAGCGATATTGGATATAGACTAGTTCGGAAGCGACGAGCCTAGTTCTGGCGGCAAAGCAGCTGACATCGCGTCGACGTGACGTGCCTTTGGGACTGCAGCCTGCAAAACGCGTCTGTGGAACGTGCGACGTGAATGTAGGCTTCCATGGCCTTGCTGGACCCTCGAAATAAAGCGTACCACGTCCCGGCCTGTGAGTCAAATGAATCTGGGCTTACACGCTACACCGCCATCTTCTCTGGTCTGTCCCAGACACCGGGCGCCAAAGCTTCCTAACCCACGATCCTTGCCCTCTACGTCTTCCGCTTTCAGCAACCTCCGCCCGGATCTTTGAAATCCAGAACACCACGCACACGACATTGCTAGAATATCCCTGTGCCGTTCGCGCCAGACTCACCTGACCTCACGTCTTTTATACCGAGGCTAGAGACGCCCTCAGCACGATGAACGTTGGGGCAGGCCAGGCCCCGCAAACGAATGGCGGCGGTGGAGCGCAACACCGACAGTCCAACGGCAGCGGAGACTCAGACCTCTCACAAATATTAGAAGCGCTGCAGGCCATATACGCAACCTCGTCAACGAATGATACCCGCCGACAGGCAACCGAATACCTCGAGCAAGCGAAACGGCACCCGGAAGCGCCTTCACACGGTCACACGCTCGCACTCGACCGCTCGCAACCCGCCCCCCTCCGCTACTATGGCCTCACTATGCTGGAGCACTCGATAAAATACAGCTGGGAAGACTTCACAGAGGACCAAGGCACAGCTTTACGAGGCTATGCGATCGAGCTCGCCCAAAACGTGTCCGAAGACGATGCCGCATTCCTGAGGAACAAGGTCGCGCAGCTATGGACGGAAATTGCGAAGCGCAGTTGGGGTGCCGAGTGGCTGGATATGGACGAACTGCTGGTCTCGCTCTGGACAAGTTCTCTGCACCACCAGGCTGTCGTGCTGTACGTCCTGGAAACGCTTTCTGAGGAAGTCTTCAATCGCGAAGACCCCACAGCCGGCCTTCGAGGTAGCGACCTGGGGCGCGCCTGTGTCGAGATTTTCACACCGCTTGCCGTCATACAAGACCAGCTCCCTACACGCGAGAAGAGTCTGGATGTGCGGTGTGGAGACGAAGGATGGCTGAAGAGACTATGCGACAACTTGAGCTGGTGCTTGGGGCAGGACTACCAGAACCAGGATGCTGTCAAGACAAGCGCTATTAAGTCTATGCAAGCCCTCAAGGCGGCCATGCCGTGGATTATGCCCAAGGCTATCGCTGCAACACAAGTCATCGAGGCCGTCTGCAAGGCGCTGGCTACCCCAGCCGTAGAGATGCAGATTGTATGTCGACCCCATACACCCACCCACGTGGACAGCTGCTAACACAAACAGGCCGCTGTCGAGACCCTCCAAGCGATCTACAACCGAACCCACCTACACGACGACGAGTTTGTGGAGCTTGTATGCCCCATGTTCACACCTGGCAGTGTTTCACTGCTGCGAGAAGTATACAATTGGACGCTCACGGATATGGATGTGAATGACATAGATGATCAGAAATACATGCTCTGCAAGAGACTCTCAGAAGTAAGGCCCTCGCCTGCTCTTCAGGCTTGTCATACCGTGCTAATGACGACAGTTGGCCAACAGCCTCGGACTATTCATCGAGCAAAAGCCCCAATCGATACCAGATGGCAGCGACCTAACCGGCATATTCGGTTTCCTATACGATATCATGCGCAACCCTAGTCTGGTTGTGTCCATACCTGTTCTTCATTGCTGGACCAAGCTGTTACGATCGAGCATCGTGCGAGACTCCGATGTCGTCAACTCTATGGTTGGCGGGCTACTCGAGACGTGCTGCGCCCGACTTATTCGATACGAATCGTTACCCGAAGATACCGAAGACGTTACGTTGCAGTTTCTCAACGAAGACATTGATACAGTACCCGAGCGTCATGCTTTTCTAGGAAACTATCGGCGCTTCTGTGCAGACGTAATCGAGGTCCTGGTTCGCAAGACGCCGGTAGAGGCAATGGCGCATATTCTTGCTCAGGCGACGAACATGCTGCAGAACCTGTACCATGATCAGCCTGCTTTCCAGCGCCAAAACTTCACCAAAAACTCTCCACAAGTCCTTCAGGTCGATGCACAGGTCACTGTCATCGAAGCTGCGCTCAAGGGTTACATGAAGTGGCAGCAAGGGCAAGGCGAAAACGCGCAAGATGATGAGCGGACGCGAAATACCTTGGAAGACTCGCTCGAGCAGTGGGGCAGGCAAATCCTGCAAGCACACTTTGAAGATCCCGAAGTTGCAAGGAAGATAATATCTTTGATGGCAACTCTCTCAACAAAAGCCCTTGGTGACCGCCCAGGGTTCGCTCTCACCTTCCTGGAGTATATGCTTACAGTACGGCTAGCCGATGACACGAGCTATCCACAGTACTCCGATGCTGTGAAAGACCTCGAGCGCATATGCAGTCTTGAGATGCAGAAACTAGCGATGAAATTCGCTGACGATTTTATGAACGTCTACGAGCAACTAGAGGCCAAGGTCAATGAGATGATTAATGACCCTACGACTGACGAACGCCAACGTATGGCGTACTCCGCTTTCCTTTTCATCATCATACATAGATGTACAACACTAGAGCGCGCCACGCAAGAGGAGCGCATGAGACAGATGCTCAACCGTGTCAAGGATGCTTGGCGCAACGATGAGTTCACCCAGGCCATCTCTTCGTTCCAGTCCTTCTGTGGCGTATTGGGAATGGGCCAATTGCCCGAGTTTCTATCTGCGAACAACTTCCGCGGCATTCAGGACTGGTCTGATCAACAATTGCCTAGTGATGGCCAGGCGTTGCAGGCCACAATCCTTGACCGCTCTCAACAACTGCCACTACGACTTACTAAGACATTACTGGCAGCATCGACGGAAAAGCTTCGCGATGGCACCGCTGCGTACGAGACTGCTGCGCTACTCTGGGCAGAGGCCATACCAGTACTGCTCCCAAACCTTCTCCAGCTCGTGAGCCATGCACAAGCATTCAACGATATCGACGCCAACTGGTCACACTTGCCAGTAGAACTACAGCAGGTTATTCGAAGAGTACTGACTGATCGGTTCTGGCAAGCTGGAATATCCACAGAGAGCCGCGATGACTTCTTTGCAAGAGTTAGTGGCTCCAAGTCGACGTTTGAGGGTTTTGCGTCAACGGTGCGAGGCACCGTAAGGCAGATTAGGGAGAGCTCGTACTACATCCTCTACTCGTTAACACGATTTCGAGACTTCTTCTATGGCATAGAAGACCTGCCAGGCCCACTGAGTCAGGCCCTGTTTGGCCACGCAGGCGCTCTGACTGCGCATCATCTATCTGTCCTACTAACCGTATCCACCCATCTCATTGAAGGTTGCCCAGCGCGTCTACGGCCACATTTCCTGCCACCCATGATACAGGGGCTATTCAGAGAGCTGGATCGAAAAATCTCCGGGGAATGGAACGAGGTTGCTCGACAAGTGGCGGAGTCGGGACACAATGACAACTTGACGGACGAGATGAAGACTGAGAGCATATTACGACAGCTCACATATGCTGCGGTTTCGCTTGTCGCTGTCCTGCTCGACTCTAGACAGGGTAAGTCGCCTGTTATCTATCCTGCTTTGTTCTGCCATTTTCGCGACTGCTATTGACGTTCGGACATTGGTTTTAGTACCGAGTATCCGAATCATGTTTTATGAATAAAAGCTGACCCCATCACAGAATTTGCCCGTCACGATGAGCACAGCCGAAAAGAAGCCAACGCACCGCCCATGTGCGACTTCATCCTGACAACGCCTGCCGTCCTCGAGCCTATCCTCCTTTTCTGCAACTCAACAATACGTTATCGCGATACCAGGTCGGTTGTCACCATGGTCCGTGTGCTGCGCACGCTACTCCCACGGTTCAAGGAGAAGTCGCCCATTCGGGATTACTTCTGCAACGACATCCTCAAATCGGCCATTACGTCTCTCCATGAGCCATACTTTGTGGATTGCCAGAAGGAGCTCGCCTCACTCATTGCTGGTATCATTCATCTGGACGAGGAGATACCGCGCTCGATCATCTTGTCTCTACCCGGCATGGGTGACCCGTATCGCGTCGACCGCCGTCTTGCAAAGCTTCGTGGAGCGAACAGGTCGGACGAACGTATGCAGCGCAGCATTGTACTAGATCTCATGAGTAGCATCAAGGGTGTCAGTATTCACGAGCAAGGCAAGATCCAGAGATCGACGAAGACCAAAGCCAGGACCGTCATGATGGAGCAGTACATGAGTGTGGACCAACAGCCGACCATAGTCCGAGGTACCAGCCCCGGATTGGCAGGCGTGGCAGACATGTTCGGAGAGTCGTGATCTTCCATGGTATGACTATCGGCGAAAGGACTTACAGTGGAACCAAAGGGCATCAGGTACGACGGTACGGTCAAGGGGCAGATGGATTACCAAAGCATTCTGGGACGTAAGGTGGGGCATGGGGTAAATGGTTTGCATAGCATTCTAGGGTTGGCGTTGGCCTTTTCTAGATGATGGCTTCTCGGAAGCATCACGTGCTTGGCAGCAGTCTTCGCCACAGTCTTACTCTATGCATCCTATAGCAGAAGCATGTATCGAGAAACACCTCACAATTCAGACGTATTGTGCTGACCCATTCCGTTTGTTGCATCTCGCAACCACTGAACGTACCCCGCATTGCCGATTGCCTGACCCCGCCGCTGTACTACTGCGTGCTTGCCGTCCCTACTATCTAACCAAAGCAGAAGCAACCCGCGAGTCAGCACCTGCTTCTTTCTCTGTTCGTTCCTGCGTCACAACCACTTCTCACTTTCTAGTCCTTTCCATCGACGAGATGAGCGGCATACCCGTCGTCGACTTCGGCACCTTCCTGCACGGTAAAGCGGAGGGTCAAGGGAGGATCGCCAAGGAAATCGATGATGCATTTCGTAGTGTGGGCTTTGTCTACCTGAAGAACCATGGTGTGAGGAAGGAGCTAGTGGATGAGTGCTTTGCCTGGTCGAAGAAGTTCTTCGCTCTGCCGCTTGAGACGAAGATGCTGGCTCCGCATCCGCCGGGCGGCAGTCATCATCGTGGGTACTCGGCTCCAGGCGTGGAGAAGGTCAGTCAGGGTGTTTATGATGTCAATGAGCTGAATAAGCTGAGGGAAGTTAGTTGCATTCATCTTCGTTTTCCATGGTCTAAACTGATGAGAGGCAGACGCCTGATTACAAAGAGTCCTTCGAGTCGGGCAACGTGAAAGATGAGGCCCAGCCAAACATATGGCTTCCAGAAGATAAGCTTCCAGGCTTTCGTGCATTCATGGAAAAGTACTTCGTCGAGTGCGCTAGTCTAATCCACAGCATCCTCGATGCTCTCTCCATCGCCCTCAACGTCCCTGCACCAGGTCTCTCTCCTACCCACTCGCATTCGCTCTTCCAACTCCGGCTTCTGCACTATCCCCCCATCGATGCCGAACAGCTACGCAACAACGAGCGCAGTAGAATCAACGCGCATTCCGACTTTGGCACGCTCACCCTGCTATTCCAAGACAATGTCGGTGGTCTGGAAGTAGAGGCCCCTGCTAGACCAGGTACTTTCCGTGCTGCAGAGTCCATCGCCGACACTGTGTTGGTCAACATCGGAGATCTCATGGCGAGATGGAGCAACGATCGCTGGACAAGCAGCGTGCATCGTGTTGGCCTACCCCCGGTCCCTCCAAAGGCCACTGAAGACGGCAAGCATAACAACAGAGAGACAGTAGTACCAGATCGCTACTCAATCCCTGTGTTCGCGACACCAAATATGGATACGGTTATTGAGGCGTTGCCGGGTTGTTGGGGTGAAGAGAAGCCGAAGAAGTACGAGCCTGTAACCGCGTGGGGGTACGTGCAGATGCGGATGGCTGCGTTGTATGAGTCGTGAAGGACGTTAGATGATCCCTTCCTCTTGTGGGAAATTTGCGTCTTGGTAAACCCTTCTCCAAAGCGACCTGTCGCGTGGTGACACGCCACATGCGGGCCCTTTTACGCGACTGTCATACACAATCAGGCAGCAGATCCGAATTTCTCACATTTCCGTTGGTTGCGGTTCTGAATACGCGGCACAGTATGATTACGTGCCTATCATCGGTGGTCTGCTGTGCTCAAGAAGCAAAGGTGAAAGGTAACCCCGCAACGCGCACGTGAGAACGCGTCTTGCCCAATATCCCTTAGCGCCGTCCCCACCTTCCCAGTCAGCGAGCTCGTAGCGACCTGGAACTTCCTACCTCACATTGTCTGATCTTGTCCCTTAACTTGCGCGTTTAGAGTGCCAATAAGGCCTACCACTTCCCCGCGTTGTGGGCCAGCCTTTCGAGGCACAAAGTCGTTCAAGATGGACATCTATATTCCGAAAGTAAGCTCACAACACTACCTGAGCTAGTCGCCAGCGGGCGCGAATAGGAAAGCAGTCGCTAACCAGATGCCGTAACATTAGGTTCCCAAAGACGCCAATCACGTCCTCTTACACTTCACCCTTCAGGAAGCTCTCCACAGCGTTGACGTGTTTGCATTCGACGTTCGAAAGTTCTCCGGTCAACATAATGATTTCGCCATCCTCACTGTACCGAGCGTTAGCAGTGGAAATCGCTTTCTGGATATACGCGGTAGTCAGGGCCGACGCCAGGCGCTGCAACCTCTTTATTTCGGAAATCAGCCACTCGACTTCCGCCATAGTAACAAGCGTCGGGAAGATCCGCTCCAACTCAAGTCACTCAGAGAGAAGCAAGAGATAGAAGAGGCCAAAAGATTCAAAAGTCCGGCGCCTATCGCAAAACTTCAGCGTCCGGGAGGCTCGACATTGTCTTTTCGTACCCTCATGACAGGCGTTTGGGATTACGATCATCTTGGCAAGCTCGTCTTTGATCAGAAGCTCAAGGACAAGAGGCAAGGTTACATTACGTTCGGCAAGAATGCTTTAGTGGTAGGTGTATCTTTCCACATCGAACATGTCAATGTTAGTCTGGCTGCTTACCCACACAGATTTACCTGCGGGCAGAAACCGCCGAAGCCTTCAACTGGCATTGCAGAATTGACATTGATTATGCTACTATAGAGCACATCATTCCGTCTCGCGGCAATGGCCAACACGGAACGATAACATTCACCCTCAAGTCTCCACCGAAGTTTTACGACATTCAGTCGACCAATGATCTACACTTGTATGCCGGTGAGCAAGCACCGAATGACATATCTGCCGCAATGTCGAGACTTGGCATCAAGCCGCCGAAACCGGTTCTTCGGCTACAGAGACTATGCAAGTTGAGTAGATCGCACGATATGAACTCCGCTTTGTGTATGGTCTACAAGATCGCCTTCTCCGACACCCGAAGCGTTGATCTCGCTTGGACCTTTGTTAAGCCCTTCTTCGCGGGATCTAACACCAAATGGTTGAAGACCATAGAGCCCAACGTTTTGACGAGCAGTATCGAACATGAGTATGCAGTTGTCAACAATATGCTTAGCGACTATGGCCCATCCTTCCCGCAGTCCTTCACGTTCAATATCCGTTACCAACTCACGGCGCTCATGCTAGAGGGTACAATTGCCCCGTGGAAGATGATGGAATTGATGCCAGTAGTACAAAACGCTGCTGAGAAGCATGGTGCAGAACTCACCGCGAACGCCGTTCGTCTCCTTGGAAAGCGGATACCAACGCCTACACCAGGGGTTAAGGCGGCAGATCTTACTGCAAACGCAGTCAGTCGCCGAGGAAAGCGGATACCAACGCCTGCACCAGCTATTGAAGCGAAAAGCTTTATGATCAAGACGATTAAGCTCATTCTTGATGAGAGTATCGAATGTTGTGAACGTCTTGAGGAACTTTCCCGGACCTGGGACGTCAAACAGAAGAAGCAAAACCACCTCGCCTTAACATACAAGGCTACGGTCACACCTACCGGTATGTAGACTTCAAATACTGGAACTTGCACAACTAAAGTCAGGTTTTAGGTATCCTGCTACGCGGCCCTGACTGGGTCGTTTCCAATCGTATACTGAGGAAGTACAACACCCACACCCAGTTCTTCATGCGAGTATTCTTCGCAGATGAGGACGAGCTACCGGTATTCCATGACCCACGGGCATCGCAAGAGAGAGTCTACGAACGCTTTCGAGGCGTACTTCGATCCGGGATCACGGTCGCGGGCCATACATTTCAATTTCTCGGCTTTTCGCATGCGTCACTCCGTACTCATGAAACTTGGTTCATGGCTCCTTTCAAGAAAGATGGGATCGTCGTCTGTGCAAGAGATGTGTAAGTACGCACTGATCGTGTGCGAGACATCAACTGACTTCATACGAGCATTCGCGACTTGGGCGACTTTTCCCAAATTCGTTGCGCCGCAAAATGCGCGGCAAGGATAGGGCAGGCGTTCTCCGGTAGGGTTCAATCAGGTACAAAATGTATGTGAGATGTAGGCTGACGTTGTACGCCGACATCCAGACACAACATTCTCTGTGCCAATCTCGAAAACCGCCTATGTAAACGAAATGAAGGACGACGTCACGAGAAACAACCGTACATTCAGTGACGGCTGCGGAACCTTGTCATTGAACCTCTTCCAGAAAGTTTGGAACGCCTTCCAGCCGGACCGTAGAGCACTCAGGCCAACGGTGCTTCAGATCCGGTTCAGAGGTGCGAAGGGCGTACTATCTCTAGATACAACATTGCAAGGTGAACAACTCCATGCCCGAAAGAGTATGACAAAATACGTCGCCAAAGAAGAGTGGAGGGATTTGGAAATCTGCGGAGCTGCCTACAGGCCTCTCAGAGTATATTTGAACCACCAGTTCATCAAGATCCTTGAGGATTTACGTATACCTGCGAAAAACTTCATGGCAGTTCAGGATGAAGCTGTCACAGAACTGAAACTCTTGACGGAGCATCCTATAAATGCAGCCAGCCTTCTCGGTAAGTTCCGATCTTCTAGCATATTGTGCGGCCTGAGGGGATGTTCGGTTCCTCATATTTTGCGGCATCGCCACGAACTGCTTCTTGAATGTATGGTCGAGTGTGCTAACAAGCCTGCTAGAATACTCCCACTCGGGTGATCTCGCGAGAGTCCCGTCACTGTTTCGACGAATGAATGAGATGGGTCTATCATTCCACGCGGACAGCTTCCTCACCGACATTGTGGAAGTGGCAGCTATGTCAAGCCTGAGGGATATCAAATATCGCGCGCGTATTCCAATCAAGAACGGCTACCTCCTTTATGGAATCATGGACGAATGGAATGTTCTGAAAGAGGGCGAGGTCTACATTCCGCTACAAGATTACGATACGAACGACAAACTGAAGAGAACCATACTCGTTGGCGAGCGAATAGTCATCACGAGAGCCCCTGCACTACACCCAGGCGATATCCAGGTCGTCAAAGCAGTCGACGTTCCAGAAGGTTCACCCCTCAGAGCACTGCACAACTGCGTCGTATTCTCACAGCAAGGTCCGCGGGATCTGCCTTCGAAGCTAAGTGGTGGTGATCTTGATGGAGATCTATTTCACATCATCCACGACACTCGATTGATTCCGAGAATCGTTTATCAACCCGCTGACTACCCATCCACGCCGGCAAAGGACTTGGGGCGGCCGGTAACTGCCGACGATATTGTTGACTTCTTTATCGAATATATGAATATGGATCGATTGGGACAGATTTCGAACAAGCACAAGATCCGCGCTGATAAGGCTCCTGCTGGCACTCTGGATCGAGAGTGCCTGCTTCTTGCCAAGCTCGCATCCGACGCCGTTGACTTTGGCAAATCCGGAATTCCTGCAAGCATGGCTCAGATACCCCCAGGTGGTGATCACATCCGCCCCGATTTCATGGCTCCAGGATCGAATCTTATCGTCAACGATTTGGGCGCAGCTGAGCTCGAGGAGCTCGAGGGCGACGACTTCGACGAGGTGAGTGTGCTGAACGCTGAGAAACCCAGAAGTTCATATTACACAAGCACAAAGATCCTAGGAGTTCTGTATCGACGTATCGACGAAAAAACGTTCTTCGATAAGATGAAGAACGCCTACCGAACATCTCACCATCGCCGGGGTGATGAAACGTTGGTACAGAAGCTCAAGCGATATGTGATACGAGAGACCCGTGGAGTACAATGGGAACATCATTGGGATTTCGCAGAACAACTCCGTGAAGCGTACGAAGAGAACATGTTCGAAATCATGGACACACACCGTCCGTCTCGAGGCTCACGTCTCACCGAGCTTGAGGTGTTTAGCGGTAACATCCTCGGCAAGAAAGATCGTGCACCATCCCGCTACGTGCGCGAAGCCAATCTCGAGGTTCAAGAACGCTTCAATCGCGATGTCAGCGACATGATCAAGAGCATAGTAATGGGTGATGGAGATTGGGATGGCGATGCAGATTCGGAGGCGTTGCCGCGCTCCATTGCGTGCTTCATGGTCGCGCTGGAGACAGATGGTTGGGAGAACTACCGCACGTTGAGGAGCTGGAAGTACGTTGCTGCTGCGGTGTGCTTGGAGCAGTTGTGGAAGTACAACAACGGGTATTTGCGCCGACTCTGAGTAGTGGTGTAGTGCCACGTCTTGTACTGGCCTTCCAGCGTAGAGGTGCTCGGTTATCACGACCTTATGAAGATAATGCGCAAAAGATGCGCTGAATATATGGTAGTACTATTGATTTGATGAGTCCAATGTGTGATGCGATGTGATGCGATGCATGGGGAGGAGTTAGTGAGGATACCCCTAGGGCGCACTGCGCAGGCTCCTTGCGCGCCAACTGCGCCCAAAAACCTAAGCGAATCAGCGTTTTCGCACGCACAGAAGAGGTTAAAGAGGCAAATGTTTGCCTCTCGCGTTAGAAAAGTCAAAGGACACGCTTGAGCGCTCCACGATACTTTCTATGGTTTTCGAACGTTTGTAGATTATCGTTATGTCTCGTTCTAGCATGCCGCGTAGTCGCGTGCGCGCTCCTGAGGTTTCCCGCATCAGCCTACTAAAAATCCCAGCCACAGAACCCAGACATGCCAGTCCCATCCACGACCCTGCGTCCTCCGACTGGCTGATGGCTGACTGATATCCGGTAAGCCCGGGTGCCATCACCACATGGCACCACGAGCCTACCCCGCATGCCAACCGTTGGTGTTGGCCGCGTGATACTTGCTACCCAAGGCAAAGCCCCTCAATACCATGAATTCAAGAAATATAGATGCATGATTTGAGTTTCCTCCCATCAAACACTCATCCATCTGCTTACGTCATGTAACGGTAACAGCAACATCTTCGATGGTCTAGTGGTCATGATTTCCGCTTGTCAAATGTTCACGAAGTGTTTACAAGCGCGGGAGACCGGGGTGTATGTGCTACCTAATCGAGAGTGTCTTCAGCTTTGACCTAATCATGCAAACAGTCGATTCCCCGTCGGAGAGCTTATCAGCTACGCGCCTTTTTTTTTTGGGAGAGGGGATGGAATGATATGGGAGGGGGGTGCGTGGCTTGGGTAACTTTTTGGGTAAAGGTGCGGGGTTGGGCGATAGGATGGACGATCCCGATATCATTAGTTAGTGATAATGCTACTACGCTGTTTGCATTGAGAACACAGCTACAGCCTTGTCTGAATTCTGTAGAGATATAACTTGAATGCAAGGATAAACTAGTGCTTGCTGTCCTGAGTGAACAGAATGTCCCCTCAGCTTGCTGGGAAACCAGCTCGGGCCATCTTCTTGCCTCGTTGAGCCTTCCGATTATGGTTCGCACTTGAACCCTTGTTGGCTTCCTTGCGCTGCCGTGATATCTGCGTACCTTTGTCGTCAGCCGGACCTGCGACGCTGGCACCACCTCTTCCACCACCTGGGCCACCACGTCCGCGCCCTCTACCTCTTCCTCTACCGCCGCCGCCTCTTCCGCCACGGCCTCCTTGCCCATCACCACTGGCTTCGTCGCCAGATCCTGCAGGGCTGTCCCGCCATGCTGTTGATTGAAGCTCTCGCTGCTGACCCTGGAAATTGGAAAACTTCGCTTCGAGCCGCCGCAGTGCGCGAGGATTGCGACCCATCATGATGGCCCAGCCTTCGATTGCTTCGTCGGTCATACCAGTCTCGCTCTTGAGGGCTGTTCGAGCTTTGCCCCGCCTTGTCTCCGACTCACGACCGAACAGCTCAGGTGTCATGGTGTAAGCGCGGAATAGGGCTTCTTCGTTCTTATCACCCAAGTCGGCATCCTCGCCAGGTCCGTGCGCAGCGGTATCGACAGATGCGCCGACGTCTTCTGCATCGTACGTATCATCTCGCTCGTCGTCATCTGAATCGAAGGCAGCCAGCGCAGCCATGATCGCTGATTTGGCAGGTGCTTTGCTGCGGTCGGACAAGATCTTATCGGCGGTCGAATCCTGACCTCGGCGACCGATATGGAATCGCGATGTATCAACTGCAAGCCTGTCAAATTCGTCGTCGTCAAAGACGTTGCGCCGTTCTGGGAGGTGTTGGCTTGATCTCGGTGGTGGCATTGGCTGTGAGGCTGTTGTCGGTGTGGGTCTACCATATGTTAGTATATTTGATTGAAGCTATGATGGCAGAAGCTCAAGTGGAAGTGCTTACAGTTTCTCGCTCCGATCAGCCTCGATTAGGTGTGGCGGTAACGAATCTTCCAAAAGATGTGCGGTAACCTGCTCGATGTCGTCGTTGTACTCGTCCAAGCACTTGACAATGAAGCCTGCACCCAGGTCTGGAAAGAGATCCTGGATCTGGCTAATCATACTCATCCGGTGAACGTGTGTCTCGCCAGCGAATGCACCGTGTCCATAGCTATCTTGATCCGCTGCTGGTTTGCCTTTGTCTACCTTTCGTCGAATCAACCTCTTCGGCCGAGCTAGACTAGACTGCCGAAATGCGCTCAATGATGCTGCAGTGTTCTTTACTCTTGTTGCTTCCGGAGTAGTAGCCTTTTCTCTCATCTTTTCCAGTAGCGGTGTGTTGGTGACAAGATCAGCAACCAACGTCTTCTTACCAGGCTCCTTCTTCTGGTCTTGCTCCTCATTAGACTTCAGGCTGTACAGATGATCAGAGAGCAGCGAATAATTCGGTTTAGGACCTTCTAATGCGGCCGTTAGACCAAGGTATGCAGTCGTGACTAGCTTCTTCTGCATCGATTGCGGAACTTGTGGGTATGCGGAGAGGAGAGAGTCGAGGAAGTCGGACCCTGTCAGCATGAACATGCTGGCATCTGATGAGGCTCTGAGAAGAGGTGCGATCCGATCAAGTGTTTTTTCGGCCTCTTCCGGTCGCTTCGATTCCAAGTTCCGGATCAGAGACGTTTTTGCTGTCTGCAATGACTTCTCAATGGCTGCACCCTTTCGCTTCCAGCACCCTTGCAAGAGCGTACGGAACTGCTCGCTCTTGGGATACGCATGACAGATGTCAGATAGTGTTGACCAGCTGAGCAATGGCGTGGGTATCTCTTCTTTGGAAAGAATTCTGTGTAATAAAAAGAAAGTCTTCTTCCGTAATGACGCAACTCTAGATGCTAGCTCATCGTCCAGGGCCAGTTCATGAAAGAAAGACATGAGAAATTGAGTGAGAGAGCTCTCATCTTTGGTCGCCTCGGAGAATTTTTGGTCCTCTAATCTTAGGTAGAGCTCAGCCAGCGAAGCCCACGAATCCAGGTACAACTGCCATTCGTCGGGCAGTATGCTCTTTCTGACTTTTGCGTCTGGGAATGGCGCGAAGTGGGGTAGCGACATCTCTGTTGGTGGTGTTGTAAGACAAAATCCAGGGCCGGCTCAGAGGTACAGTGCACTGTATAAGGGACGCGAAAAGTCTTAAAAGGTTCAATTTCTGTTGTTTGTCTGCAGTCATGCAGTCATGATGGCTCATGGGCCCGCCTGCCGAGCGATCAAAAGGGAGCGATACCAGTTACGGCACTAGCGTCCGCAATCTTGGCGCGCATCGCCCACAGATCGAAAATGCGCATCGCAGAGAACTTAACGACTCCGAACGCCGTCGCCAATTTTAACGCCACCCCAGTCATCACATTACCGCGATCAAGGATCCAGGTCGTGACTGGAATCTACCTCAGAACCTACAACAACACCACACTCCAATCCGACAAGATGTCTTACAACAAGGGCGAGAAGGACTTCGGCGAGGGCCCCAAGATCCACAAGGTACGTCGCCCTGTACTCTATGCACACGACGCTGTGTACTGACTGCGCTTCCAGATCCGCATCACCCTCACCTCCCGCAACGTCAAGAGCCTCGAGAAGGTCTGCCAGGAGCTCATCGACCGTGCCAAGAACAAGGAGCTCCGCGTCAAGGGCCCCGTCCGTCTGCCCACCAAGCACTTGAAGATCACCACCCGTAAGACTCCTTGCGGTGAGGGTTCCAAGACCTGGGACACCTACGAGATGCGCATCCACAAGCGTAAGTGCATACCACTCCAGACAGTCGGCCGGACAGCAGCTAACTGCGGACTTAGGCCTCATCGACCTCCACGCTCCCACCGAGGTTGTCAAGCAGATCATCATCAACATCGAGGCCGGTGTCGAGGTTGAGGTTACCATCGCCGCATAAGGGCTTGGTCCGCACGAGGATTACAAAGGAGTGTCAACGGTCTGAACAGACGTGTGGCTATGAAACAGCTCTCGAAGCTGGACATACACGAAATGAAATGATTCAGACATGATTGCTCATTGCATTGGGATGTGACTTTGACCGTGTGAGGCTACCCTGGGCTATGGATGACAGCTGTCACTGCATGCAGTCCACAGAACAAAGAAAGCATGAGCTAGAGAGTCAGAAGGCGCCCATATGGTCGAGCAAGACGTGCCAAATGACAAGAGCCCACCGACAAGAGTTGCACCCATCTCGTATTGGAGTCTTATCGTCTGCATGTTCCACAAATCATTTGCGTATAAAACGTGTACCCGCCACTCTTTAGCTCAACCACAATATCCCAACCTTCATCTGTGCCTTTCACAGGCCAGCACTCTCAGGAGGGCCGAGTAGAATTAGACCATCAAGAAGAATAACGCCGAGTGGTAAGTCGTCCCATCCCATCCTATCGCCCGCTTCAAAGTCTGCCACTATGGATAACAATAGATTAGAGCTCTGCTTGGGTCATTCGCGCTCGAATTACACATATTGAACTCACATCTGCTAAACCAAAACGCGATTTGGTGCCGTGGATGTCTTAAACAACCTACTAAACCATGCTCTCTTGCCAGGTCATCTAAAGCGTCCTTCAGCTTCGGACTTCTCATGTTTACATGTACTCCGTCGCCTTGAGGAAAGGCGTCTGGCTTATACATGGCTAGCAAGGCGACCTGGCGGTCTTCCGAGGATGCGAGATAGGTGGGCCTGGCTTCTACAAAAGCTGGGTCGCAACCTTCGTAGAACCATATGTCCCAGTCGCGCATGAGACTTTGGCATGATTCTTTTAGGTTATGGTCGGTCACGGACATTTCGAATCTGGGTAGACACGTAAGAAGTGGGACATGACAAGTGCGGGATATATAGTTGTCCATCGGTCTACGATAGCACAGCGTGAGATGAACTCATGACTAGGTAGACAAACATTCTTCTTAGTTCCTGTAGTCTGTGCAGTTCTCTCCCATTCCAAGGAAGCACCAGCCGTAATAACGCCTTTTCCGGGGTATATTCGTGTCGCACCTGCATGTGTCACCGGTCCACATGCTCTTGCCATCTTCCGGACAGCAGCTTCTCACACTACCACACGCTCCGATGCTAGTGTTCAGCGATTATGGATCGGTCATCGTGAATGAGTAAACGAGGTGATGAGTTTTTCAGAAGGCGTTCATGTGTCGTGGGCCTCATTATTTCAGATATTACCCAAGATTTCTTTCCTGCATATCTTTGGATGCATTTTAAGTGTACTATCTACAAAAGAGTGTGTCTCCAACCGCTGTCTCAAAGTCTCAAGAGCATTTCTGACCAACAACCTCGTCAGTTACATGCTCGTCTCGTAACAAGACCCTAACCTGATTGTACCAGGGACGAAGGCTCATACTTCTTGTCGGCCTTATCCCAAGCCCAGATGACCGATAGAGGAATCATAGTGTCCTCATTAGTGACATCAGCTTTGCCGCTTGTCACTATTATCGCAAAGTCAGAAATGCGAGTTCAAAATTGCAGGATGTGCTGGGGAAAACTTGCGTATTGCGAACCACATGACGACTCTTGCACCGTTGTCGTGCACACAGTCCTCGACTCCCTGGAAGACACCCTTGTTACTGGCCAAATTCCTCAGCGCTTCGAGGTTGTTATGGGCGCGCAGATCGTACGATATCCCGGTGCGGCCTTCTTTGTCTGGGTCGTCTGGGTGGGGATAGTGAGCCGCCATGAGACACACGTTGCGTTTGTTGTCTGAGTGTGGAGTGGCAAGCTGCAGTATATTATGTGGGTTCTTAGGGGCCCATACTTCCGACGAGTCGCCAATCGGAAAGAAGCCGTTGAAGTTGTTATCTGCCATTATTTCGACGCATTGTGCTTTGAGACGTTCGTTCATAGCTTTGATGTAGGTTTAAAGTTGTTTTGGTAGTAGTGGGCTTTGGTAAAGAATTGGAAGAGATCGACTTGTCGCTTTTGTCTTTCCGAGTGTGGTAAAGGAAGAAGCTGAAGGGAGCAGCAGAACGACTTCTTTTATACTCTTTCCCGATGACTCTTATTCCAGTGATGATGCGTTGAAGGACTATGACATGACGGTGGGTGGCACATAAGTCCTCATTATCCACGGACCTGTCGTCATCCCGCTGCGCACGTCTTTCCTCATCTCCTTACGGCAACTTCACCTTGCAGACCACAACGCACTCTCGAGGTTCAGGGAAATCTCCAAATGGTAGCCTGTCAAACTGCAACGTCGTGAATGTTGGCTTACCATGATGCCATGAGACACCAAGAGGCCCACATCACCCTGCGTACCCGCGTATCGTAGGTGGCATAGTAGAGCCAGGAGGCTGTCGCATCGTTATACGATAGTAAGTCTCAAGAATGAAAACAGGTTTGCAGACTTCAGCAGCATAACCATATACAGACACCAAGACATTGAGGTATTCAGACGACTACCAAGACTTCACGAACATCACATATCATAAGTACTTCGTAATTATAGAACCAGTTTTACTATCGTGTGCTACTTAGCTAGCTATGAACTTTGATGACCACTTGTCATATCTCCGTGAATCCTTCCCATATTATAGTATATGCATCATGAAAAAAGTGAAAAGTGAAGAGAAACCATGAAGAACTACCTAATTCTCTTAACCGGTGCCGTTGCCGTTGACAGGCGTGTTGGTGGGGGCAGGGGGTGAGGTAGGGGGGTTTGCGGGAGGAACCGAGGGGAACACGCGACGCTCGATGTAGCGGATAGTGTTGTTCGGTCCGAGGGCGAAGAGGGGTTGAGGAGGGGTGTCAGACATGGTGGCTAGACAGTCGAGAGACTTGTGCTAGTTTAGTGTTTTCGGTTTGAAAGTTGACGGATCAGGTGCGAGCCCTTGTGCCACCAGGTCTTGAGGCGGTCGATGATGCGGTGTTTGCGGTAGTCAACTGCTCTCATGCCCTCCGCGTCACGGAAGGTATGGCGGTTGGCGGTGGTGGATGACGTGAAAGCTTGAGCTTCACCGGCACGATCTTGGAGGAGTGAGGTTGTTGACTGCTTGGTCGACTCGGGCGAGGCGAGGTCTTGTGCGTTGGTCTTGCTTCGACCAGCTCGAGTGTTTGATTGGCTGTCAAGCGTAGCTTTGCGAGTTGACGAAAAGCGCTTGCGGAGCGAGAGCCTAGTCTTGCGTGTGGTGTCGTAGTGCTCGTCGTCAGAAGTGTCAGAGGCTGACAGGTGGTCGCGGAAGATAGCTGTAGGAGGTGACAGGGCAGAGGTGGGGTAGCGTTCACCGACTGCGTGTGGCTGGTCGCTGTTGCGGCCAAAGGTGCTGAAGCGGTGATGACGCGCGTGTGCGGTGCTATCGGCCGGTGATCCGAACGGGGAAGCTGTGGCTGTCTGCGCTGTCGAGAAGGAGCTTGTGGTAGACGCGTCAGAGAGTCTGTTGCGGAGGTGGGAAGGACCTGGGCGAGGAGAGTGTCTCGCAGCAGCTGGACGAGGAAGGGAGATGTCAATAGCGGGGTTTGTTGACGTCGCCCAGGGATAGTTCTTGTCTGAATTCCAGGGACGCGTCTCGGTTACTGTGGGCGTAGAAACAAACGACCTCAGAGACCTTCTTACGGAAAGAGCGGACTCCCCTGAGATGCGAAGCTCTTGAGGGCCGACAGTGTGTGAGCGCGGACGGAGAACAGCTGGTGATGGGACTCGCAGCTCTGAGAGCGGAGTCGTCTTGTTGTGTGTTGGTGTGCTCGGTGCGTCGTCGTCCTTGGGGGAGCTGCCTGTATTTGAGTCTGCCTCGCTAGCGCCGTTTACACCAACTCCATCGTCAGGACGGCCTGGACTGCCACACACCCTCTCTTTGCTTGTGATCTCATCATACAGATCGTCCTCAATAACAACCATGTGCGAGACGCCACGCATGGGGCGAAGTCGAGCAGACGAGCGCTTCTGCGTCGGATGGATCTCGTGGATCTCCTCCAATGCGTGCTTCTCCATCTCCTCCTCAATCGGAAACTCGGCTGGCTCACCGCACTTGTAGTATTCCCTCAACGACGGGAAGATCTCCGAGAGGCGCTGGGTAAGCCCCCCGACAGAAGGTATAGTCAGCCGCTCAATCTCTGCCATGAGCTCCGGTGAACGAGCACGGTGCATCGCGAACAAGTTCAACACGGCGGTAGGCTGCATTGACAACCCTGAGCGCTCTGCTTCATTCAATTCGGCGAGAGAAAGGCGCAGGTCCGTGACATCACCGGCTGATGCAGGCCGCGGACTACCTCTGCTCACCCTCTGCGACGCATTGGGCACCTCTTCCATTGACCTTGAGTAGCGAAGGCCAAGGTCCTCGGTCAGACCATCGAACAGATTCATCCGACTGAACCGCATCGAAGGCAAACCGTGTGCCTGTCCGAGCGCGCTACCCACGTTGCTGCCAACAGCACTCCGACGATGCGACGCTGTAGACGACCTTCCCGAGAAGTTGATCGGTTCCTCTCCCGAAGCCCTGACCCCCGACGGCGCGCCGAACGGAAAGCGGTAACTCGAGCTCTTCAGATTGCTGGCACTCGTGTTGAGGCTCGAGTCCTCATGCGACTCCTCCTTCAGGTCAGGCAGATAACGCGCAGGGCCAGGATACCTATATCCGGATAATCTGAGGTCCGTCGTAGTATTCTCTTGGATGTTGGACAAGGGACCCGATCCCAGAGAATTCAAAACATTTCCAACACCGCTCAGAGGGCGTAGCGACACCTGCTGGAGGCCACCACCGTGGGAGGAAGACCTATATCCATTCCAATCGAGGTGTGTCGTAGTCTGGCTGTCACGACGGCCAGGCTCTTGGGCTACCGGAAGTTCATCCACGGAGTCTACACATGAGCCTGAGGAGGTGTCATGGATCGAGTACACAGAGGAGGGCTCCAAAATCGCAGGAACCGGGCTGTCGACTGGTTGCGCAACAGGAGCCGGGCTACTACCGGGCATCTTGGATGGGTTGCAGGCTTTCGGAGTGTCGAAGCTGATAGCCCGCGTCTTCGCAACAGGTACACCTTTTGGCCTGGTCGACGGTGCTTGCGGCGTCTTCTTTACCTCCCTGGTGGGCGGCGGTGAGCTGGTCATCTCATTGAGACTGATAAGCCCGTCCGTGTCTTGACTCGAACTGGAAGCCGATGGGACCGTCTCATCTGACTTCGGTAGCTCCTCTTGGTCAGTATACTTCCAAGACCTGGCAAAGCGCAACGGTAGTGGACGCATCAAGAACGAGACTGCGGCGTGCACACGTTGGGCCTCCTTGGAAGTGCTTGACTCTCGGGGCGGTACCGCTGGCCCCTGGTGCGTAGTGCCCAGCGTGGATGACGAACCAGATACCGATATCGAGCCTTGCTTCATGCTCTGCTTGGAGCTAGTCCGCAATTTGCTCGCTACGATAGAAAAGCTGGATTCTCGACGCGGTATAGGAGGCTGTTTGCGAAGCATAGCAGAAGAGGGCTTGGACAAGGGTGCCTCCACAATCGTCCTGCCCTGATTCAAGACCACCGTTCCTAGGCTGGACGTTTGGAGTCGAGGCGGAGGTGCGAAACTAGCACGGATAGGGTGCACACCAGTCGCAAAAGAGTGAGTGTCTGCTTCCTTCGATACCGTATTTCGCTGCGGCGCAAAGTCAATGGCGGATGTGGAAGACGCTTTGATGTCTTCTTTCTCTGGCTCGGATGGTATCGAGCCTGAAGAGACATCTGGCAGATCGGTACAAGACTTGAAGGACAGCTCATCGGACGACCCTTGTGCGTGGCTACTTCTGGATCGAAGGGCAAGAGGCAGCGGCTTCATGTCATTTTCTGTTGAAGCATCTGTGTGCTCCTCATACCTGCTCTCGTTGGCCGTCTCGACTCGTACCAAAGCGTCGGTCTCGTTCTTATAATCAGATCCCTGATACCCTGCAAGAACATCCGACATACCATCCCCGGTACTATTGCCAGGACTGAGAGACATGTTCGTGGTAACATGAGTCTTAACACCGGGCTCGTTCTGGAAGCCACCGCTATTGGCCGTTGGTATGGAATGCTGGACCGCGAATTCAAGAGTGGACGAGTCGAGGATGCTGGATCCAGTTTGCGATAAGATACTGTGGCGGTTTTCTCCGCGGTCTGCCGCATGCAATACGGCCCCACGAGGTTTATCAGATACAAAGTACTTCTTAACAGGTATATCACAAGGATGGGTGACCTCATTGGTCTTCGACAGCGGCAGAGGCCCCGGAGTCAGCGACCTTGGTGTCAGCGACCGTGTTGTCAGCGACTTTGTCGGCGACTGCGGTGTCGGAGACGTCGTCAGTGATTGCGGTGTCGGGGACTTTGGCCTTGATAGTGGTATCGGAGACTTTGGCCTTGATTGTAGTGTTGGAGACTTTGGCCTTGAGGGTTGTGTCGGAGACCTTGGAACGGGGGGTTTTGTTGACGGAGATGGAGGCTTGCTCGGGAGCGAGGGAGATGGCCCCGAAGAGGTTACTAACTCCATCGAAGACTGGATATCGCCCGTCGTTGAAGCCTCCAGACCTCTTAGGATCAAATTCCTTGTGATGCGGTGAGCTACGGGGGACGCTGGGAGTTCCGCAATTTCGCTTTCGCGAATGCTTCCCGGCTTTGCGCTCGGCTTTGCGTTCTCGCTCGAGATCGAGGTCCAAGTCTTGTTGCAACTTCTCACGGTATTGGTAGCGATGTTGTCTAGGTGGGGAGACACGACCTCCATCGACATTGGTCGTGCCTCTTGTCCTAAAAAAGGATCACTCTTCAATGCCGCCCCAGCCGGACGAAACTGTTCGACAATGATTATCTTTCGGTCTATGAAGCCGTCGGGATCAGCATCCGTCCCTGGGTCCGCAGACGCCACAGGTCCAAGCTGGTCACTCGTGTTGTAGTATGGTACTGAAGGATACTCTTCTTGAATAACAAGGCGGTTCGGGTTGGCGGCTTTGAAGACCTTGTTTCTATCGAGGTTTCGGTGCACTTCCATGGAGCTACCATCTTTCGGAGTTGATGGCATAGCCATGTCGGACGATGGCGGGTCTGATTCGGTGCGCAAGTTTGTGTTAAAACTGGACATGGAAGCAGGCGCAGACCTCTTGAGACGAGCTTGCTCAGCAGCGATCCGTTGGCGGTGGTCGGCTGGTAAAGGTGGCTGATATTCATCCTGACGCCTGCGCTCTCTTCGATCTTCTGAACGAGGCTCGCGGGCGGAGCTGCCTGTCATCCTGCGAGACATGAGTTGTCCGGTAGCCATGTGGTAGACAGGGAAGTCGTCGTCTTCCACGGGAGGATCTTCAAGGCTCATCGTAGACCGCGAAGATGGATTCTTGGTCCTCATCTGCCCGGGGCCCTGTCGGTTGTGGAAGCCTCGTTGGTCTTGTCCTTGTCCAGCATGCTGCTGCCGATACGGATGATTTGTGTATACTGGGTTGCCGTAGCCTTGTGCCTGACCAGCGTAGGGCAGTCGCTGACCGTCGGAGGTCTGCGGCCCTTGGAAGTGTACTCCGCTGTCGTCGCTCAGGGCGGGCTGGACGGATCGTGAGTATGGAACAGGCTGCCTGAAACCACCCCCGGCGGGGTGTGCATAGTATGGGCTTGGGTTCGAAGATCGGGACGCTGGCCGAGGGCGCAAGCTGGGAATGGACCTGTTGCTGGTGAGACCGTACGCTGGGGGTTGTATGGTATTCGTCATCGAGTGCGAGCGATGCGCGTCCCTGTCGCGGTTGTCTCTTCGGTTGTTGAAAGGCGATGATCCGGTGGCGTTCATCATCGTTGGAGACAGCGTGTCGGCAGTATACACGGGCCCATGGTGTTGCATTGGCTGACGCGGTGCAGAAGAGGAGGAGGGGTAGGAACGGAAGTGCTGCTTGCTACCCCGACTGGAAGTGTTGGACGTGGAAGAAACTTGCGACATCCTGCTGGTCGCGCGCGAGCGCAGCGGACGTGGTGCGTTGCTCATGGCAGACAAGTCGTCGAACTGAGGACGGCCGTGCCTAACGTTGCCCATCTCGGTCTCGGTGCGGAGCATGGACGTGACGCCGCGGTTAAGAGGTTGAAGGTCTGCACTGGGTGCCCGCGATACGGGTTTACCTGATGCTCGGCTCATGGCAGAGACGTTGGAGGCTCGCGAGTTGCGGCCGCCGCCGTTGGGATCCTGATCGAAAAGCGGCATACTGCCGTCGGCTGCGAAAGTCGCTGCGAGGAGAGCAAGCAAAGGTTGCACGCAGGGCGTGAGCGAAGCTGCTGCGGTGGTGGCTCTCCTGGTTGCGGCGCTGCCAAAAGATGTGGTAGTTATTGGTATAACCAAAAAGAAGAAGCGATACTGCACAAGGCGGCGAGTATCCAAGAAAGACAAAAGCGGGTGACCTTTACACAACCCTCGCCAACATCTCCGCCAAAAGGAGAAAGCTGTCGAGTGTGGTGCTGTTGTGGGTGGGGGCAAGGTAGAGGAGACGGAGGGAGCTCGGCGGAGACGTTGTTTTGATAGCGAGACTCGCGCCTCCTTCACGTCCATTACGGCAGAGGCTACCCCTACCCCGCCAGCATCTCGCAGAGGAAGGCAGAGACATCAGACACAGAAGGAATACAGAGACGATACAGAAAGGGTCAGTAGCAGAGATGCATACGAGAATGGTCCCTACCTACTTGTGCGTACAGCTTTCCCATACCTACCCCTACGGCGGGCCTACCACCCGTGGCGCCAAACCGGCAGCCAACAGCCAGCAGCTCTTCGCGTCTCCTTCTCGCACCCCAGCTGCCCACCATGCGCAGGATAGCGCAGCATCCAACAGCAACCCGTTCCGAAACTGCTCCCAGCAAGCACACCAGACCACCGCATCACCGACGTCCTCCGCACGACGCCGCCTTCTGCCGCGATGACGTCCGCACACGAAGTTAAAGACATTACACGTTGCTCGTTACCGCGTTACATCTACCAGGGCGAAAATATATACATGCGAAAGCCCCAGAAAGCCATCGAGAACGCTGGGCAGAACCACGGCAGAGACTATGAGATTTGGATTGCGTAATACACAGAAACGCAAAGTCAAAGGGGTATATAGCCTTGCAACGCCAGACAAGAGGACCAAGGACGGGACAAGGGATAACAAAGATCAAACTAGAGGGTATCACTCGGCGATAGGACCTATATCGCCAGATTTCTTCTTGGTGAATAGCCGTTTGAGAGATGAGAAGCTACTTCGCTTGGAAAGTCGCTTGTTCGAAGCATCTGAGAACGTGGACAGAGAGGTTGGTGGTCGGCTTGGCATGTCCGCAGCCTTAGGGGTTTGCTCAGGACGATTGAACGTAGGAGAGCTGGCACCTAGTCGACTCGACATGGAACCTTTCGGCGTACTCAAGTTTCGACTAGGGAAAAGACCAAATTGGGCAGTTTGTCGCGAGGACATGGAGGACACGGAGCGTGGCGATGCGTAGCCCGGTGACACGGCTGAGGCGCCCGACACAGAACAATATGCCGAATCTTTGCCGGTCAAAGGCGGACTGTATTCTCCGTTTTGTGGTTTCGTCGACATGCGTTTCGTTGCTGATGCGCTTTCCTCTGCAGATAGGTTAGATGGCGAAGACACTTTATGCTGGTGCCCCGGAACATGTGTTGCACGACTAGACTCTGCATGCGGTGTCGCTCCGTCACGTTGCTCGTCGTTGCGCCAGGCATCACGGTAGTACCCGGACTGATTTGCCTGACGTCGTACATCGACGTCTGTGTTGGAAACGGCAGACGCAGAAGACGAGTCTTCGCTCCGTTTGGGCGTCTCTGTGGTGGAATCGGATGCGTTTGTGATCTCGGGCTGCTGCTGCTGCTGCTGTTGTTGATGCTGTTGCTGCTGCGGCCTCGCTCGTAAAGTCGAATGTCGCTGGGGTGTGCCAAAGCTGGCAGGCGTCTCCCTACCGGATGATGATGCGCTCATGAATGGCGGACGTTCGGGTGGGGGCGTTGGAAGAGGTTTGTTGTTGGCAAAGTTTCGAAACGGGCGTGCCTCGCGCGAATTGGACGAATTTCGTGAAGATGTACGCGTCGCAATCTAGGGCTGTTAGCGAAGCTCCAGCTGAGAACATAGCCCACGAAGCGGGTTCGAAGCGGATTTCTGGCAGCGAACATACCAAACTTCGGCGACTTGCAGCGCCACACCGCTTCTCGATCTCATTGCAATAGCTGCTGACCTGTACAAGCACAACGCCCAGCCTTTCAGCCTTTGCTACGAGGCTTTGCAAGAATTGCGACCAGCCTCCGGTGTTGCCACACATGGCTGAATATATGCGCCCAATATCCTCATTGCGGTATGTCCATTCGTCTCCCACATCGCCTAGGTATAGATCGAGCTCCTGGTTGGCTTCGCGAAATACGTTGATGTCGATCAGGTAGTCGTTGAGCAGTTGCGACATGCGCCCAATCGTGCGTTCGATTACGATGTTGCCGTCAAGGAGTTGGGCGCGGTATGAGCGGTCTTCGAGGAGGCGATCGAATTCGTTTACGTGTTCCATGGGCACCTTTAGACATTTATGTCGGAACAGCATGTCCTTCATGCTGCTTTCGAGGTCTTCATTCGCCCGCTGCAGGAAACTGTCGAGCTCATTGACATGCTTGAGCAATATGTCAGCGACATCGGCGACGGACTTTTCCAGATGCTGATGCAGCAGGTGGACACCGAAGATGATCTGCGCGACCGTCTTTGTTAGGGGATGAAATTTGCCCTTTGCGTTGCTCCTCCAGTGGCAGTTGTATGTGAAGTTCCACGAGGGCTCAGAGGCATTCTCCTCTCTGCACAGCATTTGCTGTCGCGTCTTGACGCTCTTCTTGGGAATGGCGAAGGGAACGTGCCCCGTTTCGCCAGTGGCGTCGAGCATCGACTCCTCAAAGGGCGCCTGCATGGAGGAGAGGGGGTGTATGGGGAAGGTGGCCGTCATGATGCGTTTGTCTCGCTCGTCTTGCCATTCGTAGGAGTCGCGGTTGTCGAAGCTGCGACGGCCCCTCTGCGATAAGCGTCGAAAAGGAACCATGGCGAGTAGCGAGTGGATGCTACTCCAGCTCGGATTATGGTGCTACAGAAGCCAAAGCCAATGCAAGCCCAAACTCGCAGTTCAAGGATATGGGCTGTGCATAAGCACGAAACACTGGGTTGTCGAGGCCGGGGCGCTGGAGGGTGTATCGTCGTCGGGCCTTCTTAAAGACGCATGGTGCAGGATGACATTGTGTGTGCAGAGTCTACGCCGCAGGGGATGGAAATGTTGAAGGTGCCGGAGATGGCGGAAGGAAGACTGGACACGGTCCCAAGGTTCAAGGACCCCTTCGGTTCGTCAGTCATCAGGTCACAGGTCACAGATCAGCCTGGGATCTGGCACAGAGACGGGGGGTTTCTGGTCGCCAGGAGGTCTGCAGGTAGTGCAGGAGGCTTGCCCGCAAGCAGGCTGGCGGATGCCTTAGTGCCCGAGACGGTTGGTATCCAGAGGCAGGGCGGGGAAGCCATGGCTACTCTCCACCATACAGCCTTCACGACTAGGAGCAGACGGGCAAGCCTCAAACAAGAATAAACTTTGGCAGTGCCTATCCCCAGCGGCGCCCTTTACTACAGATATCCGTTTTCTAGACCGCCCGCGGCCTTTAGCTGGCTGCAACGTGTCGAGCAGGTGATTTGGCGGTTTGGCATTTTGGCCGTGGCATCCTCACTGTGTGCGCTAGAAGACGCATTGCAGCCGCCAGCAACACACCCAGGAACGCCCCCAAGCTTTCCTATGGCTGCCCTGAGCGACGATCCCGCCATGTCGCCGTTTTCCAACTCGGTCAGGTCAAGTGCCGAGGCTTATCATATCCCGATTGATGTTTTAGCTGCCAAATGGCGCAACGCATAGCAGACGTCATGAATGGGCTCCAACGTGAGTTTACCAAGCGCCACGGTTCCTGGCCGATCTCCGCGGGAAGCTATGGATCCCAAGCTTTGGGATGCACGCGCATAACTACAAACTTGTGCTTGTGCCTGGCAAGCATATTACGGGTCACGAGCCTCCAATCACAGGGCACGCGATCGGCAAGCTTCACCCAGCGACCATCACGTCTTCCATCTACCAACCCGTGCAACATGCTTCTGGCGCTGGGCTAGAGAGCGGCTGGCAGCCACCAACAATAGAAAGTTTGATCAAGATGCAGACCAACGTTACAAGAAACAACGGCGCGAACTACCCTCTTGCAATGCAGCAGTAGCAAACCCCGGAACTCGTATCCTCCCATCCCGTCGCCGCAACCCGAACCCGACGAACGAGATGTAGCCGCACCAGACATTATACGCCGCCAAATGCGACTCGTCCCGGATTAGATCAGACGGTTTTAAGGACTGCAGAACGATCCGCGTAGACATGCGCGATGGGCAGGACAATACTGGCGGAAGTCGTCAGCGGCTTTTCATGCCGACAGCGCCAGGACCAGATGCTGCGCGAGTCGTACAAGCCTGCAAAAATGTCAACTCGGAGTGTGAGCAAAGTCAAAGTCATCGAACCACACACGCATTTTGGGTCATTGGAGACACCAGACTCGTTGCTTTTGGAGTTGTTGCCATCCACGCGCGATACTGGCAGCGCAGATTCGAGACGACGCCAGTTGAGGTCAGACAATACGAGAGCATACAAATCCCATCACCCAGCATCGCTTTGGATGTATGAATGGGCTTCTCTTACAACTACATTGACATGGGTTATAGCATCGGAAGCCGATTAATATCGAGCGATCATAACGCCTCACCCTACTCCTACATCCGATCACCAGCCCCTCCATCGGGCCCAGACATCCACCACCGTATCTCCACCCGCGTCCGAGTCGACCACAAGATACCACCCGAACCCAGCGCCAGCCACACAAGCATGGTTTGGCCAGACCATAACCTTATCCCCGATCGTCAACTCGTTGCATTCGCTCCTATCGCCCTCCCATGTCAAGATACCATGCTCTTGGCTGATGCGTCCAACGATCCATCCCGTCTTGCCCTCTCGCTCGTCGTATATGTGCTTAGCGGAAGAATTGCCTAGTGCAGGCGTAACAATACCCCATCCGGGGTAGGACTTACAAGGTTCGCGACCCATCGCTAGAGACCCAGCCGACACGAGAGCTTCAGGCTTCGATCGCTCGTTGTATACACTTGTTACTTCGAGCAACATCCGGATACC